ATTCCTCTAAGAGAAGAAAAAAACATTTTATGACAGTACATGCTCCATTTCTTGAAATGTCTATAAAAAATCTCAGTTACTGCATGTTAACCATTTCAGTAACTAACTCAGGGTTTCTCAACCTCAGCACTACTGACATTTTGGGCTGAATAATTCTTGTGGCGAGAGCTGTCCTGCACATTGTGGCCGTATCACCAACCCCTTCTCCCAGTGTAACAACCAAAATGTCTCCAGATACTACCAAGGGTCCCCTGAAGGGGGAAAATTTGCCCAAGTTGAGAATCACTGCTCTAACCTAACATTAAAAGGAGAAGAGTTATGTTCCTGCACCTTATTCAAGGCTATGTTGGCTTCACAGAATGAGTTTGGGAGTATTCCCTCCTCTTCTATTTTTTGGAAAACTTTAAGGAGAATGGGTATTATGTCTTCTCTGTATGTCTGATAAAATTCCGAGGTAAATCCATCTGGTCTGAGGGTTTTGTTCCTGGGTAGTTTTTTGATTACCGCTTCAATTTCTTTGCTGGTAATTGGTTTGTTTAGATTTTGTGTTTCTTCCTTGGTCAGTCTTGGAAGGTTGTATTTTTCTAGGAAGTTATCCATTTCTTCTAGGTTTTCCAGCTTGTTAGCATATAGGTTTTCATAGTATTCTCTAATAATTCTTTGTATTTCTGTGGGGTCCGTTGTGATGTTTCCATTCTCATTTCTGATTCTGTTGATGTGTGTTGACTCTCTTTTTCTCTTAATAAGTCTGGCTAGAGGCTTATCTATTTTGTTTATTTTCTCAAAGAACCAGCTCTTGATTTCATTGATTTTTTTCTATCATTTCATTCTTCTCAATTTTATTTATTTCTTCTCTGATCTTTATTATATCCCTCCTTCTGCTAACTTTAGGGCTCATTTGTTCTTCTTTTTCCAATTTCAATAACTGTGACATTAGACTATTCATTAGGGACTGTTCTTCCTTCTTTAAGTATGCCTGGATTGCTATATACTTTCCTCTTGAGACTGCTTTTGCTGTGTCCCACAGAAGTTGGAGCTTTGTGTTGTTGTTGTCATTTATTTCCATATATTGCTTGATCTCTATTTTAATTTGGTTGTTGATCCATTGATTATTTAGGAGCATGTTGTTAAGCCTCCATGTGTTCGTGGGCCTTTTTGCTTTCTTTGTACAATTTAGTTCTAGTTTTATTCCTTTGTGGTCTGAAAAGTTTCTTGGTAGAATTTCAATGTTTTAGAATTTACTGAGGCTCTTTTTGTGGCCTAGTATGTGGTCTATTCTGGAGAATGTTCCAGGTGCACTTGAGAAGAATGTGTACCCTGTTGCTTTTGAATGTAGAGTTCTATAGATGTCTATTAGGTCCATCTGTTCTAGTGTGTTGTACAGTGCCTCTGTATCCTTACTTATTTTCTGTCTGGTGGATCTATCCTTTGCATTGAGTGGCGTGTTGAAGTCCTAAAATGAATGCATTGCATTCTATTTCCTCCTTTAGTTCTGTTAGTATTTGTTTCACACATGTTGGTGCTCCTGTATAGGGTGCATATATATTTATAATGGTTATATTCTCTTGTTGAACTGACCCCTTTATCATTATGTAATGTCCTTCTTTATCTCTTGTTACTTTCTTTGTTTTGAAGTCTATTTTGTCTGATACGTTACTGCAACACCTGCTTTTTTCTCCCTGTTGTTTGCATGAAATATCTTTTTCCATCCCTTGACTTTTAGTCTGTGCATGTCTTTGGGTTTGAGGTGGGTCTCTTGTAAGCAGCATATAGATGGGTCTTGCTTTTTTATCCATTCTATTACTCTGTGTCTTTTGATTGGTCCATTTAGTCCATTTACATTTAGGGTGATTATTGAAAGATATGTACTTATTGCCATTGCAGGCTTTAGGTTCATGGTTACCAAAGGTTCAAGGTTAGCTTCTTTAATATCTTACTGTCTAACTTAACTCCTTATTGGGCTATTATAAACACTGTCTGGTGATTCTTTATTTCTCTCCCTTCTTATTCCTCCTCCTCCATTCTTTATATGTTGGTTGTTTTATTCTGTGCTCTTTTGTGTTTCCTTTGACTGCTTTAGTGGGTAGTTGATTTTATTTTTTGCCTTTAGTTAGTATTTGGTTGGTCTGCCTTCTTTGCTGTCATTTTATTTTCTCTGGTGACATCTATTTAGTCTTAGGAGTGCTCCCATCTAGAGCAGTCCCTCTATAATACCCTGTAGAGGTGGTTTGTGGGAAGCAAATTCCCTCAACTTTTGCTTGTCTGGGAATTGTTTAATCCCTCCTTCATATTTAAATGGTAATCGTGCTGGATACAGTATTCTTTGTTCAAGGCCCTTCTGTTTCATTGCATTAAATATATCATGCCATTCTCTTCTGGCCTGTAAGGTTTCTGTTGAGAAGTCTGATGATAGCCTGATGGGTTTTCCTTTGTAGGTGACCTTTTTCCTCTCTCTAGCTGCCTTTAAAACTCTGTCCTTGTCCTTGATCTTTGCTATTTTAATTGTTATGTGTCTTGGTGTTGTCCTCCTTGGGTCCCTTCTGTTGGGAGTTCTGTGTGCTTCCATGGTCTGAGCAACTATTTCCTCCCCCAGTTTGGGGAAGTTTTCAGCAATTATTTCTTTGAAGACACTTTCTGTCCCTTTTTCTCTCTCTTCTTCTTCTGTTACCCCTATACTTTGAATATTGGTCCGTTTGTATTAGTCACACAGTTCTCTTAATATTCTTTCATTCCTGGAGATCCTTTTCTCTCTCTCTGCATCAGCTTCTCTGTGTTCCTGTTCTCTGATTTCTATTCCATTAACGGCCTCTTGCACCTCATCCAGTCTGCTCTTAAATCCTTCCAGAGATTGTTTTATTTCTGTAATCTCCTTCCGGACTTCATCCCTTAGCTCTTGTGTATTTCTCTGAAGATCCGTCAGCATGGTTATGACCTTTATTTTGAATTGTTTTTCAGGGAGATTGGTCAGGTCTATCTACCCAGGTTCCTTCTCAGGGGAGGATGTCTGGGTTAGTCTGGTCTGTATCACATTCTTCTGCCTTTTCATGGCAATAGAGGTAGTTGTGGGGAGCTGTCGCGTGTGTCGGCTGGGAGAATGTCCCTTCTTGCCGGTTTATGGGCTTCCTTTCCTGGGAGAACGGCGACCCCTAGAGGTTTGTGCTGGGCTGCTGCATGCAGACGGGGTTTCTAATTCTTGCCTGGCTGCTGTGAAAGAAGCTCTGCCCTGCTGCTGTGGGCATGGCCAGCCTCAGGCTGCTGCTCCACTATGGCAAAGCTGCGTCAGAGGGGAAACGGGCGCGAGGCTGTTTATTGCCATGAGGGGCCTCCAAGCTACACTGCTGCCCAGGGGATTAGGGTGCCTGGAGTTTCCTGGGATTCCCAGCTGCAGGCTAAGTGTCCCAGGACACTTCCGTCCAGCTGTGGGGTCCCTGTCCCTTTAAGACTTTCAAAAAGCACTCACTTTTCTTTGTCCCAAGGGCGCTGGCTGCGGGGACCCACTCGCAGGTTTTACTGTCCTGTTTCCTTAGTATTCAGCACCCCATGCACTGTGTGTCTGCACTCCCAGTGCAGATGGCTAGGGCTGGGTTTTTAGCAGTCCTGGGCTCCCTCTCTCTCCCCACTCTGACTCCTCTCCTCCCGCTGGGAGCTGGGGTGAGGGGCACTGGGGTCCTGCCAGGCCGGGGCTTGTATCTTAACCCCTTCATGAGGTGCTGGGTTCTCGCAGGTGTGGATGTAGCCTGGATGTTGTCCTGTACCTTCCGGTCTCTCTTTTAGGGATAGTTGTATTTGTTGTACTTTCAAAAATATATATGGTTTTGGGAGGAGATTTCCACTGCTCTACTTACACCGCCATCTTGGCCCCTCTTATTCAAGGCTATGGAAACAGTCTTCAAGAAAGAGCATATGTTCCAAATTTCTCTTTATTTCACTGTTGAGGACTTTGGCAGTGACAGCTCTATTTGAAATGATTTGGTTCCCAAATACTCACTATTTTAGGCCAATTTTCTCCTTGGAACAACTTTATCTTTGGAGATGCAAATTCACAAACTCTAAGCATCGCTTTTACACTTACTGTGATCTATACTTATTCAGTACTGAATTCCATTACAAGGCATTTTCATTTAACAATATCTAAATAAGGTATAGCCTGGCTTATGGAATGCTGTACAAGCCCATTATATAGTGCTGGCACTAACAGAAGAGTTTTTATCTACTTCATTACAATATTTTCAAAAAATTATCTAAGTAAAACCTGTACTATAATAAAATGTAAGAATAACCTTTATTACATCCTTCCTCAAGATTCTATCCCTGGAAAGAAAATCATCATTGCTTCTGGAATTTACTTCTTGGTATCTAAAGAATATGTGAATAATTCTATTTCTTTTATAATTCTTAATATAAGAATTTTTATTATTTCTTAGATTTTAACTATTTCCTTCCTCTTAGTGCATGAGAAGTCAGCATTATTTCAACATATCCTCACTTCTGCTCCTCTATAGTCTTAATATAAATAAACATATTACAATTCTTACTCAAGTTGTGTTTAATGTGAGCCAGCTGACAGGGTATCCTGTTATCCTCTTTGACATCTTCATGCTAATGTCCCCTCTTATTGCCCATGTGAGTATATATTTTAAACATTCCTTTCTTTTCTTCATTTGATGGCATTTTGAGAGGGAGAGGAGATAAAAACATATGGCCATCACACATTTAATGAAACTAAAACTGTTTTTGAAAACTTTGAAAAGATTATACAAAAAGTCTCAAAACTTTATTGTTAGGAGGTAAATCTCTTTCCCCCTCACCTCTTCCATTTAGCATAAATGAAAGCTAGGCTAGACACTTCTTTTTCTAAAGAAACCAGTAATGGTAACTGGAATTATTGTGATCTTTCTGTAATATATAAAAATATCTAATCATTATGCTGTACACCTGGGATGAATGTTACATATCAACTATATCTCAATAAAAAATAAATAAAAGAAAAGGCAAATTACCAGAAATTCTTCAGTTCTTCCCCTTTTGCACACTTGGGACACGGTTATCTTTCCTACATAAGGATAAGTCTGTTCTTCTCTCTTGTGACTTTGTCGACTGTTCCTTCATCTACCTGAGCCATTGATACCTGGGAAACTCAGGCAGCCTTACACCATGAAACCATGTTCTTGCTCCATGACTAATGGTTTTGTAATAAATGTCTCCTGTTTCAAAATACAAAGTGCAAAACCTGATGTTTAATTTTTCATAAAAAATACTTTTTGTTGCTATCATTAACCACAAGAAATCAGGACCACCCAGAGAACAAAAGCAGAGGATTACAAAAGTTACCCTTTTAACATGACAGGTGAAGTTACAACGTGTATATAAAAAAGCCCACATTTTGGGAATTGTGGGAATCCAAGTCAATCACTTAATTACTAACAAAGACAGTAACAATGCTTCTTTTGTCTTTCATGGTGAACGCACAATTAGCACTTAATACGAAGACCGGGGAGTAAACCCTCTATAATGTACTGAAAAAGACCATCTGCTTCTACAAATTTTGTTCTTACACACTTGCCAAAAGAAGGGAACATATTAACAAAATAATGGGCCCTGCACTGTTAATTGCTAGGTTGTTTGCAGTTGTGCTGTTGCTATTAGGATTTAATAAGCCATTCCCTCTGCTAAATTAATAAGCAGCCAAGATTATGTAATAGCTGCTTTCAGCTGCTAATTATTTTTCCCATAATTCCCTTCCCTGTCCACCCCCAACCCCCATCTTTTCTTGGCTAGGAAAACCAGAGACTGCCAATATGTCATCAGCAAGTCTCCTGTCCTCATTTTCAGAACCTCAGACCAACATTAGGAATATAACTAATGAGTTTGAACTGGAGGTGGTTACCTCAGGGTATGTGTTTTGTACAGGAGAAAAAGAAAAGCAGCATTCAGAGGATTCAGAGGGCGAGTTTTCATGGCATAGCATTAAATCTAGGTACTGCCTAATGGCATCTGTTTTGTGTAGTAAGGGAGAAATGGGACATTAGCATGTGCCTTTGGGTTATGACTGGTTGGGGAACAGAGAGAAATTTGGGTACAGGCCTAAAGATCTACAGAAAGTCAGCTCTGTGCTTTGTGTTGATCATTTCTTTAATATTCCAGTATACATTAATCATACATGGTAATAGGAAATTTTCCAAGCAGCACAGTAGTCCTTAAAAGTATCATACATTTTAATTTTGCCAAAAAAGGCATAAAAAATGCCCCAAATCCTTTTTACATACTCAGTTTTATAAACACTTCAACACGAAAAAAACCAGAACCCCTAATAAAGGATTCCTTTAAATGAATATTTGGCTTCATGAAAAATGTAGCATTTATTTTTCACTTTGGACCATTAAAAAATTCTGGCGACTGTGTTTGGGAACCTCTGCGAAAAGGGCATAGCTCAACGAAAGCAATTTTCCAGCTTCCTTTGTGAGAACCTAGGTGACTGGGGTAATGAATAGCATTCGACAGGAGAAACCCGTGGCTGTTCAACCAAGGTCACCTAATCCCGTGGGACTCCCCTTTCCTCATCTTAAAAAGATGAGTCGGACAAGATGATTCATACATTCTTTTCATTCACAAAAAATATGGACATCTATTAGGTGCTAGGCACAGTACTCGCACTATGGCTCCTAACAAATCTGTCATTTTGTAGTCCTTATCCATCCACTCCCATTTATTACTTGTTATATGCCAGGCAGCGAACTAGGTTGGGATACAAAATGAATAAATTCAAGATATGCTAATTAAGGCTAACGGACACGTGGAGATGCAAAATAAATAAAACTTCAGATGTGCTAAATCGAGACTGATGGGCATGTGGGTTAAAGAGGGATTCGTTCTTACAGGGTTTGAGGGTGAGGCTCCATGGCATTTGAGAGGAAGGGCATACCAGGCAGAACAAGTCGTCCGCAAGGCTGAACTGAAACCCAAGTGGCTGTGACAGGTGGGAGAGGAGGGGCGACTCCGTGTGAAGGAAGCGGGATCTCGGACAGCAACTGATCAGGTCCGCAACACTGATGGGCGAGGGAAGCCCGGGGAGGAGACACTTGCAGTTTGAGGCAAAAGGTATCTACGGCTGCAGCAGTCCGCTAGGAAGGAGGGGCCGGATGCCGGGCAGTTGTGAGGCTGCATAATTGCAAAAGTAAGGCCCTATGAACTCGAGCACGAGCTCCACGACAGGCCTGCCTTCTTTGCCCCAGAGTTTCAGCATTCTCCCTTTCCCCTCACCATCATCATTCTCTTGGGGCACGGAGAGTTATCGGAGCTCGAACTTGGCTCTTCGCGGTCCAGACCTTCCCTGCCCCGCATAGCGGGGTCGACAAAGGGCACCATCAAGGACTGCCCTCACGCCACTGAACAGCCAGGACAGACGCCTGAGCGAGTCCCGGAGGCACACACAGGACTGCGCAAGCGCGCCGGCCCCCGCGGAGGCCGCTTCCGGGTCACGTGGCCTGGCTTCCGGTCCGGACCAACCCTCTCTGTACAGACGCAGCCAATCGGCTTCCTTGGACTCTGCGGTCACTTACTCTGCCGCCTGTGCGGTTGGCGACTGCCCGAGCTGCTTCCCGCGCGTCGTTTAGCCCGCCCCTCTGCTCGCCGCAGCCCCGGCTCCTCCCTCGGCCGGCCCTCGGGGCGGGGCCTGTCGACTTGCCCTCCCCTCGCTGCCTAAGTCCGCCTTCAGCCAACCGGCACCGCTCCTCGCAAAAACACGGCTTCCCTTCAGCTCCGCGGCAGGGGCTTCCCCTCAGCCTCCTCCGCCGCCGCCGGCCGAGCCCCGCCGCGCCCGCGGCCCGCGGCCGCCGTAAGTCCCGGGGCGCAAACGAGGAGGACGGGGACGGGGAGCCGGGAAAGAGGTTTGGGCGCGCCCTTCGCCGCCCCACGCGCGCCCCTACGATCCCACCCCGCGCCCGGCCGCCCGCCCGGGGGCGCCGCTCCCCGCAACTCACTTCTCTCCGCGTCCGCGCCCCTCTCCCCATTCCGCCCCGCGTCCCGGGATGCAGGGGCCAGTCCCGGCTGCCGCGGCGGCCCCGCTGCACCTGTGGTTCGCGTTATCACCTCAAGTTTTGCGGGGCGTGTTCGGGAGGGGCCCGCGGCCGGGGGCGGCATCGGCCGAGGACCCTGGGCGCCCCCTGCGCGGCGGCGGATGCCATTGTCTGCCCCGCTCCTTGCCTGTCACTTCGCCTGGGCTCGGTCAGTGATGGAGTGCGGCGCCGTGGGGCGGTGGGGAGGCATCGGAGACGGCCGGACCGAGGATCGCTGGCCCTGAGCCCGCTCCTCAGCGGAACCCATTGTTGTTAATGCCAGTCTCGAGGAATTGAGTTGCCCTGTGATTTGCGGCAAAATCAAAGCACTGGCTGTTAACAGGAGGGAAGGAATACTTGTGCTTTGCAACTGGGTATCGTCCCATGTCAGTACATAATTTAAAGAGTGTGAATTGTTTATTCGTCCTGTAAAGTGGTAGGGAGAGGATACAGGACCCTGCTACAGCCAGCCTTATGCCCTACTCCTTTCAAAAGCAAACCCACCCCTGCTGGTCACCAAGCTCCTGGAATAACGGTCTGTTATTTTCCAAGTTCTGGTAGCGGGTTTGCATTTAACGTCCAGTTGATGCTTTACTAGTTGTCCCCTTAGGATGCCGCTATCTTAACAGGACTTGTATGGAAGGCACTTTGACATCACGAATATTGTTCGTTTATTTTGTGCTAATGAGGCGTTTTAAGTGAGGTATATAAGCCCATTTTAAGTTAAACTGCCGCGTCATAAATTTTAAATATCTTGTTAATGCCGGTTTGATTAGTACAAAAAGCGACAATAAATTCGTTGCGAAATTTAGGGTCCATTTTAAATTGGTTGTGTAAATTCCCCCACCCCATCTTCAAATTCAAGATGGTGTGGTGGATATGAAGAAGCAGGCTGCAGTCTTACTTGCAGTAGCACTATTAAAGGAACTTAACCTGTTAAAAGAAAATAATACTTGTCTGAATTCTACTTCTAAATTACCTTTCTAGAAACAATGCTCATCTGTTTGCAGTTGAGACCAGTTGAATTATTAGTTTTCTTTGAAAATTGAACATGTAGACTAATCAACAGATTTGCACATTCCCAATAAATATATACAAAATAGTTTCAAGTGTAAAATACACTAGAATTTAGCATCCACTCCATGTGTAGATGCTATTTGTTTTAAATGAAGTATTTTGTGTAATGTCTCTACGTGTGTGTAGCTCTTATTTTAGCTTTTTTAAAGTATATATTCTTTCATAATACTACATTAACTCACTTTATTGTGTGGGTATTTATGTTGGAATTTTTAAAACTGAGATGAAGAGAGATACTTAAAAATTAAGCGTTTATTAAGAATATGCGTTTATGGGATTTTTTGGGTTAATATTAATATTTAACAATAGTATAGTACATTAGTAATAATATAATTAAGCTTTTGTTTAAAATATGTAAGCATAAACTGGAGACGGCATTCTAAGTAGTAGCTGTCTGTCTACAAGTAATTCAGGTCGGCACTAGAACAGCTTCAAGGCGAAAAATAGTAGGTCTCTTTGTACCTAAGCCAGTTGATGTCAAGAGTACTCTTGATGCATATAGAACATGGAATGCATAGCTCAGGTAGACAACAGTTTCTTATTGCAAGAGTTAATCTTTCTCAAAATTTTCACTCCAACTTACTACCGGTTTTCCTTTTTTTCCTCACATACTCTTTTCCAAACTTATATGGAACAAGGTAGGGTGGGGAAGAGTTGCATCTGGTGAAAAGATCTTTCTACATGAATTTCCTGCTATTTTGACCAGCATAGAAATATTGATTGCTACTAGTCATTTGTCAGTTAAACACCCTACCCTCCCAAGCTTCTCTGAAATATGTCATCTTAATTTTATTGAATCAAAGATTTGCATGTAATCGTGGATCTATTTATCTTAACAGATGCAGTTTATGTTGCTTTTTAGTCGTCAGGGAAAGCTCCGACTGCAGAAATGGTATGTCCCACTATCAGACAAAGAGAAGAAAAAGATCACAAGAGAACTTGTTCAAACCGTTTTAGCACGGAAACCTAAAATGTGCAGCTTTCTTGAGTGGAGAGATCTGAAGATTGTTTACAAAAGGTATAATTTTTATTTATAAGGAAGGTGAAGTAGAATCAAATGTTTGGTCATTTATAATTGCAGACTTTTGAGAGATGACATTTACAAATAATGATTAATAAAGGTTTGAGTGAAAGCTTTGTATTTTTTAAATAACTGCTGTTTTGATTGATCACCCAGGTAAAAAGATAACATTAGGAAAGTTGTTTTAAAACGAATTAAATTGTTAACATAATTAAACGCATAAATGATTATTTCTGCTTAATCGTCTTAGAAAATGCAATGAATTCATTTATTTGCAGGGGGAAATAGGGATCAGTATTTTAAATTATGTGAGTAATTCTCTGAATTTCAACAAGCATTTTCCCTTATCCCCAAAAATCTATAAAGTAATGACTAATGATTGACATATTCTTTTATCCAATTTAGAGTCCTATAAACACCGTAGATGCATACACAGATCGTTTCAGTTCCTATAGATGTGTTAAAATTCTGTATGTATACAGGATCTCTTTGTTAGTACTGTTTATTTACTTGAAGTATACTTGTTGCTGTGGTGGGGGTGTGATTAGATCTGATAGATAACTTCATCAAGAGATGAAAAAATTTTTGATGTTGCAAAATGCCTACTAATTGGCTTTGAACACTAAGCTTTTTAAAAAATGCTATACATCTTTATTAATGTCTGAAACTTATAATAAGTTTCTCAAGCTTGTTCAAATCAGATTAAAATAAATATAATACTTTGTTTTTCCCCTCATTTCTATTCCTTTACAAATAATTTACTGTATTTAAGATAAGAGCATTTCTGCATATAAAAAATTCTCTTCTGTGGGGAAACTGCAGGGAACTGACAGTATGGGCTGCAAGGAGGGTTGAAGAGAAGTCTAGGTTTTATTTCAGCTTCCTTTTATTCCACTCCAAGTATGGATGGGGTTTTTGTGGGGGAGATGGCAGAGGAAGCATTGGAGACATTGGACATTGAGAATTTTTAAAATGTCAGACTCCTTTTTACAAGGAATGAATGTAGTCATCTTTGTATCCAGTGTTTGGTGTTTAGTACTTGTTGAGAAAAAGCATAACATTTTAGAGCTGGGAGGTATCTTAGAATTACCTAGTCAAGTAATTTTTTAAAAAAGCTTTTTGCTCCAAGGATAGAACCATAAATGAAACAAGTGGAAGGGGAGATGCTGTTGTGAAGGCAGGAATGGGACCCTGTATCCTTTGCTCACTTGGCCTCTATCCTCTGCATAGGAAATTGTTCCTGAGTTTGAAAACTGCTACTGTTGATCAGATTTCAGTTTTATAAAAATGAGAATTTGTTTGAAGTGACTTGCCCAAGGTCATACACTAGTTAGTGCGGACATTGGGGCTAGAACTCAAATCTTAATTGAGGAGGCTGAGGTATTAAACAGAGATTTAAAAAATCAGATTTGCGTTTCTTAAAATCCTTTAATTGGAGAATGGGTGGGAAGAGGGCTGCAGCTTGCATCAGGGAGATCTGTTAGGAGAGTGCATTACAATGAGAGCCTGAAGGAAGACGGGGCTGGGTGCTCAGCGGGGTAGGAAGAGCTGCTACTGAGGTAAGTTTTAGACTTGGTTGCTGCTAGAAGAGGGGAGGGCAGTGATTCCACATTTCTGGTTCAGCTGACAAGGTAAATGTCAGCTAGTGGAAAAGTTGACTTTGAGATGACTAGTTTTCTCAGGGCGGGCATAGGCATGGAAGTCTAGGGGCAAATTAGGCATAAAGTGTTAGAGCACCAACATTCAAGCCACAGGCAAAGGGGAGCGGGTAAATGTAGGGTCAGGGAAGGGGAGAGAGTTTCAAAAATTAGGTCACCAGTACTCGATGTTGCATAAAGTTCAATTAAAGTGAAGAAAGAATCTAAGAGATTTTACCATGAGCATTTCATAAAATGCCCTTTGTCAGAACATTTGCAGTGGATGAATAGAGACAGTACTCTTGAAGAAATGGGGTGAAGTGTGAAGAGGTGGAGACGTTTAAAACAGCAAATGCAGACTATTTGGGGAGCTTTGCTATGAAGGACAGAAGAGGTGGTAACCATCCATAGACAAGAAGGGGGAAAGGGTTAAAAAAAGGTATGAGAGTTAAACTTATTTCTAGATAAGGGAAGGAGTCCCCCGTGTGGAGGAGGAAGATACCAGCAAGGGAATCAATCCCAGGAATTGAGATTGCTGTAGCAATAGCCTGTTAAATGCCACTCACACAGCATTCAGCCCACCCATGTTGGGCCAACGCATTTGCTTTTAAAGGCTATAAAGGTAATCTAACCCGACTCATACTTGCATCAAGCTCCTATAAATAAAAGTGCACTTAAAAACTAACAGCTTTATTGAGATAAAATTCACATATAAAAGTTAAGATTTATAATCAGTTTTTCTAATCATCTGCCCATTTTATACTGAAAACCTCATCTATTGTACTTAACATATTTTTTGTTGATAAACAGGTGATATTTTTCCCCTAGTCCCCCCTAAGACCTTTTAAGCAAAAAATTACCCCTTAGTTCCTGAGAAATTCTAAACTATCATTTTTACTGTTCATATCAGCAAGTGATCCAAGTTGTCTTACCTACATTTTTAATGCTGAGCATTTCACAGAACATTTCCCCCTCTTGGGGAGGGAGTTGGAGAGTAAAGATAATATAGCTGAAAAAGTAGAATGAAAATCTGGGATTTGAGTTCTGTTCAGTTTGTGCCATTAGCTAGTTTTGTGACTTTGAACAAGTCATTTTGCCTTTGTTCCCTAATCTCTAAAATAAATTCTCTTGAAGATACTGTGGAGACAGAACACTGCTTTTTTGATTCCTATTTTGTGTAGCATATTACAGAAGCACCACTGGATTAAAGTCTTAAAATTAATGTAAAAATACATACATCTCCATATTACTAGTTTGAGAATTTGTCAAAGAGTACTGTATTGATTTTCTTTGCTAACAAAATAATTTTTAATGATGTACCAGTGGGTACTGAGGACAGGTTACTTGTGGTCATCCACAGTCAGTTGATATTTAGCTAACTGCAGAAAAGTCATGTGTTTTGAATATTAGAATAGGCACTTTGAGTTGTTCTCTGAGTGCCAGTAATTAGAGTAAGCTTTAATCCAGTCTACTAAAAATAACCAAACATACTTTTCTTCTTACTAGTCTATTATTAATTTTACTTTAGATTTGGACTTATAAATAGTCACTAAGAGAACAAAATGAGTTCATTATTGCATTTTTAAAAAACCATTTGGTTCTCTAAAAATAGGGAGTATACTTCAGGTTCTCTTGGTAATCTTTTACTAAATCAGTATAACAATTTTTATTTCTGTTCATTTTTCAGAGCTCTTAAAATACTGCTTTAAATAAGTCTTAATTTTTGCCAGGTGCAGGATTACTTTATTTAATAAAGTTCTTGGCTATAGTTTTATTAAAACTTGGGCTCTGGAGTCAAATCACTGTTCAGCAGGAGGTTACTCAGTTAAGCCTGGGCCTCCTATAAATGCAAGCAATAACTGTACCCCTCTGGAAGGGTTGTTGGGAAGATTAAAATGGTAGAATATGTAAAAGGCTTAGCTAACATTTAGTGCCTCACTCAGAATAAGGACTCAGTGAATGTTACCTGTTATTCTTAGAGTGTCTGTTTATTCCCTAAGCTTTCAGGAAAGAGGTCCCTTCTTATAATCATGATCACTAGTTGTTTACCTACAACAAAGAATTCATTTAATTTGATAGCTTTTTCCACATTGTGAGTGAAAGCAAATTTAGATAATATTTCGGGCTTTTTTTTTTTTCCAGTATTACTGATTAGTGCTTAGACACATCAGTGCTGGTGATACTTAAGTTGGTATTTCCACATGGTTCATACAGTTTAGGACCTTTGACTAGTGTTTAAGTGTATTTGTAAGTAAAGAGGCAGTACTGTGGATAAGGAATGAGAATGGTGCAAGCATAGTTAGATTGCTTAACCATAGCACTGAAAAAATCTTGAAATTAAGAGTAAATGTAATTTTACCTGAAATTAGTAATTCTAATTACTAATTAATTAGAATTAATAAGGTTCTAATTAACCTTATATTAAATAAATTACTCATGTCAGCTAGTCATATCTGTTTTTTATCTATTTTTAATGTCAGTCCCTTTAATCTTTAGTTTTCTTAATTCAAAGAATCTTATTTGTGATTTGTATCAATTTCCCCAAATTCAAAACTGTTTGGTAGGCACGGGTTAGGAAGGATGGAGAGTTGGAATAGCTTATTGCCTTGTAAACAGATAAACAAAAAATGTAAGGTAATGCTGGGAAAGAGGAAGCACTTTGTTAGGAGGTCATGCCCTTCGTGGTGGTCTTCTTGATAATAAATGAGCATATTTGAATACCTCCTCTCTTAAGACTGCAGGAGATCCTCGATTTTAAATGACTTACTGAGTGGAGAAGTCAGGTAGGGTGGACTTGGGAAAAAGTAATGCTGTGTGTGACAGTAAAGTTGGTGTGATGGAATGTAAGAAGGCCTGGAGTTAAGGGCTGAAGACAGATTTCTTGTCCAGTGCAACCACTGGGCAGGACATGTACTCTTGGGCCTTGTTTTTTGTTTTGTAGTTGTTTTCTCTTCTGTTATCAGGGTCATGGTGCTTGTTGTGGGAAAGATCAAGTACGATGAAATGTTTTTGCTAAGACTGAAATTAATAGTGTTATGTAAATGCTAGTTATTCTCATACTGAAGAGCAGGAATTCATTGAATTCTAAAACTGAGACTATGTGTATATTATTTTACATTAGTGCTATGGGCAATAATTGCCTATTGTTTTTCTTACAATCACTTAAATGCTCCTCAGTGAAAACTACAGTCTTAACAGACTTGTTTAGAATGTCTTAGGTCTTTATTTTGTTTCTTTTCAGAGGCCTTTAGGCCTTTAGGCCTCTGAAAATGCTTTTTTAATCCTCCTCAAAGGACTTGGTCATTGTTTGTTCTACCTCAAAGTCGTATGTTAAGTTTTGGCTTCCTTGGGTCCGGTATAATGCAGTCCCATGTGCTAGGATCTCAATTTGGAGGAGAATAGGAGTTTTCCAACCTTACTGCTCCTTCATGGGTAAATAAACTTTAATCCAAACCTGTGGAACTTGGAAATTTTGAGGACAAGTCTCAGCTTCCCCTGTTCTCTTCCTCTAACTAATTTGTAATAACTTGGAACTGTTGTTCTTTTTTGGGGTTCATTCCACAATCCTAGAAACCTTCTTTTTTAAAAACAAGTCTGTGCTTGTTTCAAAAACAAGTCAAGATAGTAGTTACCCATGGGGGTGAGAGGTTGTGACCTGGAGGGGCTAGAGAGGGCAGTTTCAGGGTTTCATTAATTCTGTTTCTTGATCCAGGTGCTCGTACAAAGGTGGGTTCACTTTGAAAACTCATGGAGCTGTGCATTTGTGAGTTGTGTTCTCTGTGTATTCTCTGTGTATAAAATGTTGCAGAATGTTGACTTCATATTGACAATATCTTCAATAAGTCTTTCAGTTGGAGAGTTTATCTTCATCCCTGTTTACTTGTAGTTTGAATTAGCCACACAATGTATTTTGTTTTCATTAGGTAAACTTGAGAACAGCCTGGGTCAGCTATATTTTAGGATATATTCATAGAAAGGAGTCTAAAAGGAAAAAAGAACAAAATAAGCTACTCTTTCTAGGTGGTGTGCTTGAGTAATTTTTTCTTTTTTGCTTGCCTGTTCTTTTCAAAATTTCTTTTATATGCATTTATTATTTTGTAATATAGGAGGGAAATAATCTGTAATGCTATCAAAGAGGAAATAAACTACATAAGCATGGGGTCTTTCTCAATAAGATACGAAAATAAATTTAGAAAACAATAGGGTGAAATTTTTTTCCACAAATGTTTTTTGTTACAGATATGCTAGCCTGTATTTTTGCTGTGCTATTGAGGATCAGGACAATGAACTAATTACCCTGGAAATAATTCATCGTTATGTGGAATTACTTGACAAGTATTTTGGCAGTGTGAGTAATATTTTATTTCAGGAAACTGAATGCCTTAGTATTTTTAAAAAATCTTTTCTATAGTTAAGTTTATTATTTGCTTATCTTGGGTATTCTACAATTTGAAAGTAACTATGGGAGAGGGAAGAAATGACTCTTTCTTATCAGTGTGCCTAGTCAGTTAACTGCCAGAATTGCTTGACCTCACAGACCTACTCACTTAATTATGAGAGAATGAGGTTTAAAATACTGACGTAGAAAGGAGTCCAACTGCAAAGATTAATATTCTGGAAGTGCTTAGTATAGAATTTAGATTTGGTTAGCAGTTAATAATTAGCCAGTAAATACTCATTTTGAAATATCAGTTTTCATGAGTAGAAAATTGCTGAGTTGCCCCTGTTGGGAACTTGCAGAGTCAGGTACTTAGTTTGTAGGCATTGTGTTTTTCAAGTACTTGAGATTGGAAAATTAAGCTGACTAAATCAGTGATGTTTAGTTAGCAAGATTGCCATTTTTAGAAAGAAGATTGATTCACTGTGGTCAGATTTCATTTACTATTTGATAGTGGATGGGTATCTTTTGCTTTTTTCAGTTTAACTTTTTTTCCCTTTTTTTTTTGCTTTTCAGGTGTGTGAACTTGATATCATCTTTAATTTTGAGAAGGCTTATTTTATTTTGGATGAATTTCTTTTGGGAGGGGAAGTTCAGGAAACATCCAAGAAAAATGTCCTTAAAGCCATTGAGCAGGCTGATCTACTGCAGGAGGTAAGCTTCTTGGAGTTTTCTTGACAAGCATGTTTTGCTCTGGCTAGGGAAGTCTCAGTCAACTTGCCTCATTCTTAGAGTTTCAGAAGTTACTCTGAAGCATGCTTGGCATGTAGTGTCTATGTGCAGTTAATTGATTGGAATATGCGTCCATCACATCATCTCAGTTATCTATGGATGGATCATTTACTTTGGAGATGGCCTGTTGTATTGACGGCCCATTTTTGGACCTCAAAACACTAGTCTAAACCTTTGGAGGATAGACTGTTTTAAGAGGGGAAAAGATTTATCAAAAATAACAATAATTTGAGAACTCTTCATCCATTGTTTTGAGTACTTAACACAACCTCTTTTATCATTAGTGGAATATCAGGAGTTGACTCTGAAATTAGGGCATTTTCATTCCAAATTGGTGCATAATTTCACCTCATATATCAAGTGCAAATGTAGCTAATAGCCAAGCAAATGATACTGTTACAAGTTACACTTTTTGTAGAACCCTCTCTAGTTTTGTGTTAGCAAACAAACTAAAAAGTATTTTATTTCTCTTTGCTCTTTAATAACAAACCATGTTCGTCAATTCTTGTCTTGACTCTTGTCACCACAGTCATTAAAAACCACTTCCCTGCCTAACTGCCCAAGTTCCACAGTTGTCTTAGGTTAATTGTATATTTGATGCTCCTGTATCTTCAATTTCTAGATAAGGCTACCTTTATCTAAAAATTTAATGATACCTTAATTCAGGTAACAAGTTGAATTATACTTTAGCAATAAATGTGGTTTTCACTAAATAGGAAGCTTATAGCATAAGAAGTCAATATAAAAAATGTGTGTTTTCATTAAGGAATTGTCTTTTTTTAAATTAAAGAAGGCATTAAATTCATTTTTTTTTTAGCATTTGTTATAACAGACATGTGAACTAAGGGAAGAAGAGTAAATCTCTTTTTCTCCATTATAACTAACCACTGGCCTCTATAGGGAGGTTGAGGGACGTCTGGGTAATCCCTCTACATTAGTAACTGACTCGGTTGGTTGTAGGGATTGCTCAAAATTGGTATGACATCATCCGGAGCATACATATATTAAATATGAGACAATGCATCGTACATTTAATGATCTTGAGATAACAAAGCAGTGGTTAAGGTGCCTGCAAAGTGAAGTATTTTTTTGGCAGCCCTAATACTATCCGCTGTTCTGTAGTGATACAAGCACAGCCCCTTTTCCACGTGTGTGGTTGGCCATAGTTTTTATTAATTGATTGCAAACATGTCATGGGGGAGATTTTTTTTATTTTTAACATCTGGTCTGTTGACCACAAGCTTATACTCTATTTTCATAAAATTGGTTTTAAAGTTAGTACCTCTTTATTTTGCTGTTCACTAATTGGACTTTTCTGAAAATTAGGTCAAAACCAGGATCAGGAATTGGGAATCTTTTATATTTGCCCCCTCCCTTATCACTTTCATATTTAATTACTATGGAACTATATTCTGTTATATCAGATTCTCATATTTCCTCCAAGTTCATCATTTCCTGATTAATTACATTTGCTTTAAAACATTTCTAAAGTTACTGAAGTTAGCTTTTAATTTTAATATTTTTTTTGGAGACTAATGTTTAGGGCACTGATAATTCTTTGTGTCTAGATTGTTTTTTAAACTCTACTGGGAAATTGCCATAGACTTTAGAATATGGCACATATGCTATGTTTACTTTATAGCATGTATTGAATATTTAATGTACTAGGGAATAAAATTGTTATAACAGGTCTACATTTATCTGTGATTGTGTGTGTGTGCATGTATTTCCCTATTGAAGTATTTTAATAGCAAGTAATATCTCCCCTTTTTTTGGAGTATTATTTTTATGTATTAGGGGAAAGTAGGAATGGAGAGGGGAAGCATAGGATATCTATGGTTCCACGTAAAATTCTCCTTACCCCACCTCACTGTATTTAAAAAAAAGTTAACTACTGTAAATTACAGTTCCTTGTCTTTAGAAGACAGCTTTGGCCCTTTTTCTCATCTGTGTCTACCTATATATTGTTTTGTACAAATAAGCCAAATAAGACATTTTCTAGTCAGTGGTCTGACTTAATTTAGCCATTCAGGTCTTGAGGAGGCAGAAGGTGACTGGTCCATTCTGAATTTAGAGTGAGTTATAATACATTGTCGGTTAAGGCATTTATGAAACCAAGCTAAAGTCTGCATGGGCAGTAAGGCTTCAGGTTATTTTGTTGAACTTAACAAATTAACATGTTATTCAGGTTATTCACCCACATCCTATCATAAGAAATCCAGGGATGATAAGATGCTTCTTTCCTAAAACAAATTAATTTATATGTTCATGCATGATGAATGCTTACATCTCTGGGAGAGTGTTTAAATAATACATTCATAAAATACATGGTGGGGTAAGATGAAAAAACATTACACAAAGTGCTAAATTTCATTAAAATTTCCCTTTTACCTGATTTGAATAAATGTCATGTAGTTTGTGTAGGCCTCCATTTTGTAGGCAAACAGGGCAGACAGTTGATGGATAAAGATTTCCTATTAGTGTATTATTGTCAGTAATGAGAACATGTTCAGGATACTATAACAATGAAAAAGAACTACGATGATAACTAATGCTGTTGAGCACTGAGATGTGAGGCATCCTGTACTAATCCTCAGGGACACCCTGAGAAAGGGCATGCCAGCCTTTTTAACAAATGAGGAAGTAGAGGCTCAGTGAGGTTCCAGTGACTGGTACCAGCTGCAGCCATCAGCAAAACCAGAATTCCAAATTCAGATTGGCTAGACTCCAGAGCTGTGTGAAATCTTAACCTGTGCTTCCTCCCTCACCCTCTGCCCCAGTCTGTTCATGTATTGTCTTGGTATGTATATTGTAAACATTCTGTTTTAGATACTAACTTCTGTGTTTCTCAGTAATATAGTAAAGAAATGAGTAAATCTCACGGTTTTTCTGTATTTAACAGAGTAGATTTCCTAAGACTGATGCCATCTTTTACTTTTTAGATTAGAAAGTTTCATTGGCCACATTATCAATAGTTGGAATTTTTAAATTGGAAATATAAATAATATTTTTCAAATAATTTCTTGGAGTTAACAAAACTCCTTGACCTATATAGTAGCTTTTCTGGTCTTATAATTTGGGCTATAGTATTCACTTAGTCAATGTCATGAAATTATTTTGTTTCCAAAATTGTAAGTATAGTTGTAAAGACACTTTACTAAATGTATCCTTAAATTTTTAGAAGTTCTAATTAATTGATTTTAGTCTAGTTTTTCATATATGGTGATTTTTCTATTTGGTGTCAGGTCTTTCACTCGAACTGATTATTTCTAAATACCAAAGATGACTTTGCATGTATAATGAAAATATCTGTTGGCTTAAAAATATATACAAACCACAAAATGCTTTTGGTCCTTACATTTGCGAATATACATTTCTATCCCTGAGATTGTTTATTTTCTTCAGAAAAATTTCTTTAAAATTTACCTTTTGCCCAATTTGTATAAACATCATGAAGTTTGTTTAGGTAAACCTTCATTTGATAGGCAAACAGGGCAAACAGTCAGTGGATAAAGTAGATTTTCTATTAGCATATTATAGTTGGTAACAACACAACATAAACATGTATTTGAATAATAATAGCTAAAAATTGGACATTGTGATTTAAAAAGTTTATTTTACTTAATTACTTGGTAAGCAAAGGGTTCGATTTTGACATTTCTAAACTGAACTGTTCATTCCTTTCAGTATTTAGTTGTATGTATATATAATTAGATTGAATAAAATCCAGAAAAATTGGTGCATTATCCAATTCTTAATGTCTGTAGGAATTTAAAGCATATTTTCTTAACATGCCACTGGTACTTAACTCGATTCTTAAATTGCTCAAGTACAACATGCTGAGATTACTAAATTGTCATTCTTTGCAATACTTGGAACATCTCCCGCCACCAACAGTTATATACCTATTTTAAGCTAGATTTTTTTTGGCGGGGTGGCATAGTAGAGTTGGTACACTTGGATTTCTTTTTTAAACCTGCATATAATGAGTAAGGAAATACAGAGTGCATTTTCTTTATAAGGTCAGGCACTTAACCAGTTTTTCTCTACTCCTTAATTTTATAGAGCCAGAATGAAGAATGGGGAGGTTTGTCTGAGGATATCTTATGATAAAGAGCAGTCTAAGGCTTTAGTCCTTTTGAGCCCCAACTTATTTATTGGTAACTACTAAATTTACCATTTTTGTGGCATGGATAAAATGGGGTGTTATGCAAAGACTGTTTGCACGTGAGATGATTTCAAGTCCTTGCTTGATCCATGAAGATCAAATAAATAAATACTGGGCATTGGGCTTTAACCCTCAGCAGTAGATGCATGATGGTGTTGGTCAGCGCTTTGAGATGTGTCAACCTTTCTTTTTTATACTAACAGCATCATTTTGAAATTTGTGGGAGTTTTTCCTTTTGAGCTTTGTTTGCTGTTGGTATTGTTTCTCACTAAAGTAATCTGAGAAAAGAAAAAGTGAGGTACCAAAAGCAAGCATTACACTCATGAATTTGCTTCTACTTTGAGATGATCCACTTTATGAATAGATTCACTGGATTTGCAGTATTAATTGGACTTGTCTAGAAAGTAGAGAAAGTGGAGAATTCTCTCTATGGAGAATTAGTGCTGCTAAAATTGATTTTAGTGCTGGGGCTGCATGATGATGTATCTTAGTTCTTCACAACATCTTTGTGGAAGTAATCTGTTGGACTGCAGAAAGATGGAAAGGTAAGAATCTTAGGAGAAAAAGTGATTTCTTATAAAAAATCTTTTGTAACTTAAATTTATTTTAAGTAAATAAGTACTTACTGAAGTTTTTAATAATACACCTTTTAATAATGAAGTTTTGGGGTTTTTTAAAGTTAAAATCTTGCTAATTAGTATTTGGGCATGCTAGTCAGACTCAATATCTTACATTGTTTTAAAGCAGTAAGGTG